ATATCTAGTATTACATGTTTTTATATTATTGGATTTCTTTTTTTTGCAGTATCTTCCGGTGTCGGATAACAAATACCTATGGTCTATAATCATATTTCTCTTCCATTTCACTGGATTTGCGGTACCTACACTTGGCGTCTGCAAGATGCTCAAAACGATGTATGATTATATTTCTTATATAATTATATTTGTTATAGCTTGATAATGCTTTTTTTTGTAAATTAGTTTTGTAAAAAAAATCGGAAACAAACATCTCAAAATGCTTTCATTTCAGGAACCAGTAAAATTGCGACTAGTGTTCTCAATTCTAGATTGACGGGTCAGTGGTCTGGAAGTTGTCGCTGGATACATCTTTTTTAGATTTTCTAGTTATTTTCTTTGTAAAGCGATTTAATTAAGGATTTTTGATAATTAATGGAGTAGGTCATTAGTACTTTTCAGAAATTTATAATGAATTAGTGTTCTAAAAATAGTTCTGATTTTATATCGTTTGAATACTGGACAGTTTTTAGAGAACTTGTAAACCATCTTGATTTTCAACTATTCATTTATCTAAAAGTGTAGATAAAATTGCGCCCAGATAATTAATCTGAATGTAGTGATACCTGTTTTGTAGAGAAAGACGTCAGGTAGTACCACGACTGAACTGATTTTTGAAAATCGATGATAGTTTTCACTCTGTTCAGACTCTTCTTCAGTTGCTATTTTACACACATTATATACAATGAAATTAGCGGAAAAAAAATAAAAATTGATATATTCTGTTGTTGTTTCATTAAAAAAAGCGCCGGAAATCCAAAGTAATAAATTCTTTTAAACAGTAACAGATGAACATGCTAAAATGCTTGTAATTACCAAAGGCGTGATTCATTTTAACGTAACATTTTTTTTATATCTTTCTGTTTATGCAATCGTTTGTGAATTCATAAGTAAATAAATAAATATCCATATGTACTTTAGTCCGCCCCTTCTATGAAAAAGGGAGTCTTGCCTGCTTGAAATTGTTTACGCGTTGCGTTTCCATTGTAAATTTAAGCTACTTTGTTCTATCCCTAACCATTACTGAGAGCTTTGCGATATTTTTCCTTAAAAAAATATTTTCTGCTAATAACAATAGTTGCTAAAACTGCAATGAACAAAATATCTCTTATTATTTTTATTAAACTATACTGTTTCAACTGTTTCATTTGAACTATTGCTAAAGAATTATTGATAAACAATTTCACACGGTTCTTTCCACCGAAAGTAGTAGTCCTTTGAGTCCTTAATACTCTCATAAATTTACATCATTCTCTCCAATTATACTAGTATTTTGCTGTCTTGGAAGCTTTCAGAAAGCCTTATTTTATTTCATCAATTATTTGTCATGTTACTACTGAGGCTATTTTTGGTAATACAAATAGTGAATTTTGGTAAGTTTTAAAATTATAAAATTGAATAACTGTATGTTTTCTGGAACGCATGACACTTTACCTCTTTAGGCTGTCTGATCTTCGAAAATTTTCCATCCGCTTTATCTTATACTTTAACGAATAGTACAAGTTTTCATGCTTCATTATCTCTTTGAATTCTCTGTTCATTTTTGACCTGTGAAATCCTAGTTTTCTTAGTAAATTAATGATTACCTTGAGCAATTACAAAAAATATAACTCCGTATCAATGCATTTATCAAAATTCATACATCTGTACAGTGTCTTTCTATAGGGCTACTT